AAAAAAAAAAAGAGGAAAAAAAAAGTCGAATATATTTTCAAGTTGAAACCAAACATTGCGTAGTTGCATAAGTGGTAGTTGAGGAATGAATAGGCATGTCCCAAGCACACCATCATGTTGCATTTTCACATGTCTACAAGTTTTATAGATAGCAAAACTAAACTAATGTAACTAAAAATAAGATTCAGCCTTGCCTTGTCCGTGTGGCTTGCAAAGGTTCTTGTACATGTTTCAGTTGTCACATCCCATATCTTAACCAATATGTCCACACTGGCACTAGCAAGTCCATTACTGAATGTTGTACCCAAAACAGAAGAAACAAGACAAAACACTACATTTCAAAATCTCCACCAATATAGTGAATAAAACATCTGAAGATTATGCACAAACCTGAAGGCTTTGTTCCAAGCAAGTCCAAGAACTGCATCTGTTTGACTACCATCCTTGTATTTAATTGATTTCTACTCAAACAGAAAAGGAGCATCCAATAAGTAGATTACAGAAAGTGAAGTTTTATGACAGTATTCAACTACTGTGACAACATAAAGTATCTCAAACTCAATAATTGTGGCTATAAAGCAAGACAATGAGTTAGAGATCAATATATACAAAGCAACGATAGCACATGGGTAAGGCAGAAAATCTATATAAAAACGATTGCAACACATGCTACTATAGATATTAACTGATGTTAAATCTTGCCTTCTTTCCCTTTCTCTTCTTTTCGATAAATGCCACCCAATGTTGCAGATGGTTGTACTTCATCCATCTAAAAGGAAACAACATTTGAAGATTAGTAAGGTCGTCCAAATTTCAAGCAATGGATCAATTATCTAACTATCAAAAGGACACCAACTACATACAATATCAACGTCCCATATCTCAATGGCTGGTTCCATGGAGCCAATAGCAATGAAGTTCCCTTGAGAAGCAAAAATCACTTAATGGCGTGAGTAAAGCGATTAATGAAAAAAAACAAAATTAACAAGCTAAAGTGAGTGTGAGAGAGAGAGAGAGATTAAACACGTTTCCATGGCTGAATTTCATGAGTTAGTAAATTCTAGGAGCAAGATTGAAAATTGAAACTGTGTCACAGACTTCACATAAAAATACCGACGTAGCATGAAAATTGAAAATGACAAACGTGCCAAAGGTAGCTGAGACTTAATACTACTACAGAGAAAGATGATCAACTAAATGTGAGTGAGACAACAGGCTCATGTAAAAGGAGTTAATGTGCATGCACCGTCATTACCTTTCTCTCCACCTTTAAGAGGACGACCAAGCCATGCAGTGCAGAGTGGAAATGTTGGGATGACAATATGGTGAACATACATGTTGGAATCGCCATTTGTAGGGTCTTCCAATATCCATACCTGTTTTAGAAATCGGTTTTCAGAGATCGTGGTGTCTTAATATAGGAAAGAACTTGAAGGAGCACGTTTATTTTCCAACTTCACAAATAATTGCATGCCTCAAGATGGCTGACATCATCCTCATTCCGAGCACAAACTATGACTGCATCCTCCGGCTTTATTGTAATATCTTCTTCCTCTTCAGAGTCTTCTTCCTAAACGAGTAAAATATACACCATTAGATAGTAAAAGATCATTGACAGAAGATAAAGGGTGAAAGATGGCCAACTTTTGCCAAGATCTTTTAATGCAAGTGATGATTATTGAACTCAAACTATCATATAGGGCAACTTACATCCTGACCCTTCAAATAAGGGTCCATGTCATTACTTGGATAATATAAGTTGCCAAGACCCGAGCCAAACAACTCAACACCTGATCTCCACAAGAAAAAGTCCATTCGATATATCACAAACTTCCAAGCATTTCATGATAAAATTACAATATGCTGGATGGCTTAAGCATATCCACAGGAAACGCAACTAGGTCAATTTCATTGATAGATTCAAATTACTATGCAACAATGCCAATGAAGTTACTACACAAATATACCATCATCATCCTCGTCATAATTATCCATGTCCAGCTCCTTCAATGCATCTGCCAAGCTATCAGATTCCATCTTTGAACTCTTAGAAGCTTTTCCAAGTGCGCTCGCTGCAGATAATGCACGAGAAAGTTCATCCTCTTGACTAACTGCATCAACATTCATATCTTCATCGTTTTCCTCATTTTCACTCTCTCCACTGCAAAGATAACACGTGTCCACTCTTCTAAGTCTTGAAACAGAATCGACAAAGCTCAGTCTCCTAAACTATAAAGGTCCATTACCGTGTCTCCAAACATTTTTCCCCTTCACATTAGAAAAGGGTTACCCTCTCATTTCATAAATAATAAATTAGGACACCAACTGTCTTGCCAAAGAAAATTAATAAGACAATTCAAAGAGCATGAAAGAAAGATACAAGCATCTATACACTTTAACTAGGTCAAGCTAAGAAACGGGCAACAAAATGGCAGGAGCTACAGATGGTCTATTGGAAGAGTACAAAAAGCTTAGTAATACATTCAACAAAAATGCATAAGGTGATAAACCCCCTACTCAATCTCAAGGACACTCCATTGTCAAGATTTAACATAATCAATTAATCACTCAGTGTAACAGAGGGCAAAAATAAAAACAAAAGAACAGAAAAATAAGGACAGCCAAAATCTAACCGTGTTTCCAGAACACCACTCTTCAGTAACTCCTCTATTTTTTCATTTGAAGGGGGCTCAGCTGCTGTGGGAACTGTTCTCGAGACCCCTTTCGGGACCCATGAAATCGATGATATCATTCTTGCAACCAAAGCCTATCATTCAAATTGGAAAACATAAACAGGGAATCATGTCAAA